GCTTGCATCCAACACCGCACGAAGATGGGAAGCGCAACTGCTGCTGGGTCTTGATGCGGTGCTTAGGTCATGCAATAACACCATTCAATTGAGTCGGAATCATCAGCTGCGCCGAAATGACAGCTCCAGTTCGTGTCCTACACGTTGTTCACTCGTTGCCCATGTCTGGTTGCATGTCTGGTTGCATGTCTGTGCTTGCATCCAACACCGCACGAAGATGGGAAGCGCAACTGCTGCTGGGTCTTGATGCGGTGCTTAGGTCATGCAATAACACCATTCAAATGAGTCGGAATCATCAGCTGTGCCGAAATGACAGCTCCAGTTCGTGTACTACACGTTGTTCACTCGTTGCCCATGTCTGGTTGCATGTCTGGTTGCATGTCTGTGCTTGCATTCTCTTGCATCCAACACCGCACGAAGATGGGAAGCGCAACTGCTGCTGGGTCTTGATGCGGTGCTTAGGTCATGCAATAACACCATTCAATTGAGTCGGAATCATCAGCTGCGCCGAAATGACAGCTCCAGTTCGTGTCCTACACGTTGTTCACTCGTTGCCCATGTCTGGTTGCATGTCTGGTTGCATGTCTGTGCTTGCATCCAACACCGCACGAAGATGGGAAGCGCAACTGCTGCTGGGTCTTGATGCGGTGCTTAGGTCATGCAATAACACCATTCAAATGAGTCGGAATCATCAGCTGTGCCGAAATGACAGCTCCAGTTCGTGTACTACACGTTGTTCACTCGTTGCCCATGTCTGGTTGCATGTCTGGTTGCATGTCTGTGCTTGCATCCAACACCGCACGAAGATGGGAAGCGCAACTGCTGCTGGGTCTTGATGCGGTGCTTAGGTCATGCAATAACACCATTCAATTGAGTCGGAATCATCAGCTGTGCCGAAATGACAGCTCCAGTTCGTGTCCTACACGTTGTTCACTCGTTGCCCATGTCTGGTTGCATGTCTGGTTGCATGTCTGTGCTTGCATCCAACACCGCACGAAGATGGGAAGCGCAACTGCTGCTGGGTCTTGATGCGGTGCTTAGGTCATGCAATAACACCATTCAATTGAGTCGGAATCATCAGCTGTGCCGAAATGACAGCTCCAGTTCGTGTACTACACGTTGTTCACTCGTTGCCCATGTCTGGTTGCATGTCTGGTTGCATGTCTGTGCTTGCATCCAACACCGCACGAAGATGGGAAGCGCAACTGCTGCTGGGTCTTGATGCGGTGCTTAGGTCATGCAATAACACCATTCAAATGAGTCGGAATCATCAGCTGCGCCGAAATGACAGCTCCAGTTCGTGTCCTACACGTTGTTCACTCGTTGCCCATGTCTGGTTGCATGTCTGGTTGCATGTCTGTGCTTGCATCCAACACCGCACGAAGATGGGAAGCGCAACTGCTGCTGGGTCTTGATGCGGTGCTTAGGTCATGCAATAACACCATTCAAATGAGTCGGAATCATCAGCTGTGCCGAAATGACAGCTCCAGTTCGTGTACTACACGTTGTTCACTCGTTGCCCATGTCTGGTTGCATGTCTGGTTGCATGTCTGTGCTTGCATCCAACACCGCACGAAGATGGGAAGCGCAACTGCTGCTGGGTCTTGATGCGGTGCTTAGGTCATGCAATAACACCATTCAATTGAGTCGGAATCATCAGCTGTGCCGAAATGACAGCTCCAGTTCGTGTACTACACGTTGTTCACTCGTTGCCCATGTCTGGTTGCATGTCTGGTTGCATGTCTGTGCTTGCATCCAACACCGCACGAAGATGGGAAGCGCAACTGCTGCTGGGTCTTGATGCGGTGCTTAGGTCATGCAATAACACCATTCAAATGAGTCGGAATCATCAGCTGCGCCGAAATGACAGCTCCAGTTCGTGTCCTACACGTTGTTCACTCGTTGCCCATGTCTGGTTGCATGTCTGGTTGCATGTCTGTGCTTGCATCCAACACCGCACGAAGATGGGAAGCGCAACTGCTGCTGGGTCTTGATGCGGTGCTTAGGTCATGCAATAACACCATTCAATTGAGTCGGAATCATCAGCTGTGCCGAAATGACAGCTCCAGTTCGTGTACTACACGTTGTTCACTCGTTGCCCATGTCTGGTTGCATGTCTGGTTGCATGTCTGTGCTTGCATCCAACACCGCACGAAGATGGGAAGCGCAACTGCTGCTGGGTCTTGATGCGGTGCTTAGGTCATGCAATAACACCATTCAAATGAGTCGGAATCATCAGCTGTGCCGAAATGACAGCTCCAGTTCGTGTACTACACGTTGTTCACTCGTTGCCCATGTCTGGTTGCATGTCTGGTTGCATGTCTGTGCTTGCATCCAACACCGCACGAAGATGGGAAGCGCAACTGCTGCTGGGTCTTGATGCGGTGCTTAGGTCATGCAATAACACCATTCAAATGAGTCGGAATCATCAGCTGTGCCGAAATGACAGCTCCAGTTCGTGTACTACACGTTGTTCACTCGTTGCCCATGTCTGGTTGCATGTCTGGTTGCATGTCTGTGCTTGCATCCAACACCGCACGAAGATGGGAAGCGCAACTGCTGCTGGGTCTTGATGCGGTGCTTAGGTCATGCAATAACACCATTCAATTGAGTCGGAATCATCAGCTGTGCCGAAATGACAGCTCCAGTTCGTGTACTACACACGTTGTTCACTCGTTGCCCATGTCTGGTTGCATGTCTGGTTGCATGTCTGTGCTTGCATCCAACACCGCACGAAGATGGGAAGCGCAACTGCTGCTGGGTCTTGATGCGGTGCTTAGGTCATGCAATAACACCATTCAAATGAGTCGGAATCATCATCTGTGCCGAAATGACAGCTCCAGTTCGTGTACTACACGTTGTTCACTCGTTGCCCATGTCTGGTTGCATGTCTGGTTGCATGTCTGTGCTTGCATCCAACACCGCACGAAGATGGGAAGCGCAACTGCTGCTGGGTCTTGATGCGGTGCTTAGGTCATGCAATAACACCATTCAAATGAGTCAGAATCATCAGCTGCGCCGAAATGACAGCTCCAGTTCGTGTCCTACACGTTGTTCACTCGTTGCCCATGTCTGGTTGCATGTCTGGTTGCATGTCTGTGCTTGCATCCAACACCGCACGAAGATGGGAAGCGCAACTGCTGCTGGGTCTTGATGCGGTGCTTAGGTCATGCAATAACACCATTCAAATGAGTCGGAATCATCAGCTGCGCCGAAATGATAGCTCCAAGTCGTGTACTACACGTTGTTCACTCGTTCCATGTCTGGTTGCATGTCTTGTTGCATGTCTGGTTGCATGTCTGTGCTTGCATCCAACACCGCACGAAGATGGGAAGCGCAACTGCTGCTGGGTCTTGATGCGGTGCTTAGGTCATGCAATAACACCTCTTGATGAGTCGGAATCATCATCTGTGCCGAAATGACAGCTCCAGTTCGTGTACTACACGTTGTTCACTCGTTGCCCATGTCTGGTTGCATGTCTGGTTGCATGTCTGTGCTTGCATGTCTGTGCTTGCATCCAACACCGCACGAAGATGGGAAGCGCAACTGCTGCTGGGTCTTGATGCGGTGCTTAGGTCATGCAATAACACCATTCAATTGAGTCGGAATCATCAGCTGTGCCGAAATGACAGCTCCAGTTCGTGTACTACACGTTGTTCACTCGTTGCCCATGTCTGGTTGCATGTCTGGTTGCATGTCTGTGCTTGCATCCAACACCGCACGAAGATGGGAAGCGCAACTGCTGCTGGGTCTTGATGCGGTGCTTAGGTCATGCAATAACACCATTCAATTGAGTCGGAATCATCAGCTGTGCCGAAATGACAGCTCCGGTTCGTGTCCTACACGTTGTTCACTCGTTGCCCATGTCTGGTTGCATGTCTGGTTGCATGTCTGTGCTTGCATCCAACACCGCACGAAGATGGGAAGCGCAACTGCTGCTGGGTCTTGATGCGGTGCTTAGGTCATGCAATAACACCATTCAAATCAGTCAGAATAATCAGCTGCGCCGAGGTGATAGCTCCAAGTCGTGTACTACACGTTGTTCACTCGTAACTCATGTCTGGTTGCATGTCTTGTTGCATGTCTGGTTGCATGTCTGGTTGCATGTCTGTGCTTGCATCCAACACCGCACGAAGATGGGAAGCGCAACTGCTGCTGGGTCTTGATGCGGTGCTTAGGTCATGCAATAACACCATTCAATTGAGTCGGAATCATCAGCTGTGCCGAAATGACAGCTCCAGTTCGTGTCCTACACGTTGTTCACTCGTTGCCCATGTCTGGTTGCATGTCTGGTTGCATGTCTGTGCTTGCATCCAACACCGCACGAAGATGGGAAGCGCAACTGCTGCTGGGTCTTGATGCGGTGCTTAGGTCATGCAATAACACCATTCAAATGAGTCGGAATCATCAGCTGTGCCGAAATGACAGCTCCAGTTCGTGTACTACACGTTGTTCACTCGTTGCCCATGTCTGGTTGCATGTCTGGTTGCATGTCTGTGCTTGCATCCAACACCGCACGAAGATGGGAAGCGCAACTGCTGCTGGGTCTTGATGCGGTGCTTAGGTCATGCAATAACACCATTCAAATGAGTCGGAATCATCAGCTGCGCCGAAATGATAGCTCCAGTTCGTGTACTACACGTTGTTCACTCGTTGCCCATGTCTGGTTGCATGTCTGGTTGCATGTCTGTGCTTGCATCCAACACCGCACGAAGATGGGAAGCGCAACTGCTGCTGGGTCTTGATGCGGTGCTTAGGTCATGCAATAACACCATTCAAATGAGTCAGAATCATCAGCTGCGCCGAAATGACAGCTCCAGTTCGTGTCCTACACGTTGTTCACTCGTTGCCCATGTCTGGTTGCATGTCTGGTTGCATGTCTGTGCTTGCATCCAACACCGCACGAAGATGGGAAGCGCAACTGCTGCTGGGTCTTGATGCGGTGCTTAGGTCATGCAATAACACCATTCAAATGAGTCGGAATCATCAGCTGTGCCGAAATGACAGCTCCAGTTCGTGTACTACACGTTGTTCACTCGTTGCCCATGTCTGGTTGCATGTCTGGTTGCATGTCTGTGCTTGCATCCAACACCGCACGAAGATGGGAAGCGCAACTGCTGCTGGGTCTTGATGCGGTGCTTAGGTCATGCAATAACACCATTCAAATGAGTCGGAATCATCAGCTGTGCCGAAATGACAGCTCCAGTTCGTGTACTACACGTTGTTCACTCGTTGCCCATGTCTGGTTGCATGTCTGGTTGCATGTCTGTGCTTGCATCCAACACCGCACGAAGATGGGAAGCGCAACTGCTGCTGGGTCTTGATGCGGTGCTTAGGTCATGCAATAACACCATTCAAATGAGTCGGAATCATCAGCTGTGCCGAAATGACAGCTCCAGTTCGTGTACTACACGTTGTTCACTCGTTGCCCATGTCTGGTTGCATGTCTGGTTGCATGTCTGTGCTTGCATCCAACACCGCACGAAGATGGGAAGCGCAACTGCTGCTGGGTCTTGATGCGGTGCTTAGGTCATGCAATAACACCATTCAAATGAGTCAGAATCATCAGCTGCGCCGAAATGACAGCTCCAGGTCGTGTACTACACGTTGTTCACTCGTCCTTCTTTGCTTCTCATGTCTGGTTGCATGTCTGGTTGCATGTCTGTGCTTGCATCCAACACCGCACGAAGATGGGAAGCGCAACTGCTGCTGGGTCTTGATGCGGTGCTTAGGTCATGCAATAACACCATTCAAATGAGTCGGAACCATCATCTGTGCCGAAATGACAGCTCCAGTTCGTGTACTACACGTTGTTCACTCGTTGCCCATGTCTGGTTGCATGTCTGGTTGCATGTCTGTGCTTGCATCCAACACCGCACGAAGATGGGAAGCGCAACTGCTGCTGGGTCTTGATGCGGTGCTTAGGTCATGCAATAACACCACTTCAAATGAGTCGGAACCATCAGCTGTGCCGAAATGACAGCTCCAGTTCGTGTCCTACACGTTGTTCACTCGTTGCCCATGTCTGGTTGCATGTCTGGTTGCATGTCTGTGCTTGCATCCAACACCGCACGAAGATGGGAAGCGCAACTGCTGCTGGCTCTTGATGCGGTGCTTAGGTCATGCAATAACACCATTCAATTGAGTCGGAATCATCATCTGTGCCGAAATGACAGCTCCAGTTCGTGTACTACACGTTGTTCACTCGTTGCCCATGTCTGGTTGCATGTCTGGTTGCATGTCTGTGCTTGCATCCAACACCGCACGAAGATGGGAAGCGCAACTGCTGCTGGGTCTTGATGCGGTGCTTAGGTCATGCAATAACACCACTTCAATGAGTCGGAACCATCAGCTGTGCCGAAATGACAGCTCCAGTTCGTGTACTACACGTTGTTCACTCGTTGCCCATGTCTGGTTGCATGTCTGGTTGCATGTCTGTGCTTGCATCCAACACCGCACGAAGATGGGAAGCGCAACTGCTGCTGGGTCTTGATGCGGTGCTTAGGTCATGCAATAACACCATTCAAATGAGTCGGAATCATCAGCTGTGCCGAAATGACAGCTCCAAGTTCGTGTACTACACGTTGTTCACTCGTTGCCCATGTCTGGTTGCATGTCTGGTTGCATGTCTGTGCTTGCATCCAACACCGCACGAAGATGGGAAGCGCAACTGCTGCTGGGTCTTGATGCGGTGCTTAGGTCATGCAATAACACCATTCAAATGAGTCGGAATCATCAGCTGTGCCGAAATGACAGCTCCAGTTCGTGTACTACACGTTGTTCACTCGTTGCCCATGTCTGGTTGCATGTCTGGTTGCATGTCTGTGCTTGCATCCAACACCGCACGAAGATGGGAAGCGCAACTGCTGCTGGCTCTTGATGCGGTGCTTAGGTCATGCAATAACACCATTCAATTGAGTCGGAATCATCAGCTGTGCCGAAATGACAGCTCCAGTTCGTGTACTACACACGTTGTTCACTCGTTGCCCATGTCTGGTTGCATGTCTGGTTGCATGTCTGTGCTTGCATCCAACACCGCACGAAGATGGGAAGCGCAACTGCTGCTGGGTCTTGATGCGGTGCTTAGGTCATGCAATAACACCATTCAAATGAGTCGGAATCATCATCTGTGCCGAAATGACAGCTCCAGTTCGTGTACTACACGTTGTTCACTCGTTGCCCATGTCTGGTTGCATGTCTGGTTGCATGTCTGTGCTTGCATCCAACACCGCACGAAGATGGGAAGCGCAACTGCTGCTGGGTCTTGATGCGGTGCTTAGGTCATGCAATAACACCATTCAAATGAGTCGGAATCATCAGCTGCGCCGAAATGACAGCTCCAGTTCGTGTACTTACACGTTGTTCACTCGTTGCCCATGTCTGGTTGCATGTCTGGTTGCATGTCTGTGCTTGCATCCAACACCGCACGAAGATGGGAAGCGCAACTGCTGCTGGGTCTTGATGCGGTGCTTAGGTCATGCAATAACACCATTCAATTGAGTCGGAATCATCAGCTGTGCCGAAATGACAGCTCCAGTTCGTGTCCTACACGTTGTTCACTCGTCAATTGCCTTCATGTCTGGTTGCATGTCTGGTTGCATGTCTGTGCTTGCATCCAACACCGCACGAAGATGGGAAGCGCAACTGCTGCTGGGTCTTGATGCGGTGCTTAGGTCATGCAATAACACCTCTTGATGAGTCGGAACCATCATCTGTGCCGAAATGACAGCTCCAGTTCGTGTACTACACGTTGTTCACTCGTTGCCCATGTCGGGTTGCATGTCTGGTTGCATGTCTGGTTGCATGTCTGTGCTTGCATCCAACACCGCACGAAGATGGGAAGCGCAACTGCTGCTGGGTCTTGATGCGGTGCTTAGGTCATGCAATAACACCTCTTGATGAGTCGGAACCATCAGCTGTGCCGAAATGACAGCTCCAGTTCGTGTCCTACACGTTGTTCACTCGTTGCCCATGTCTGGTTGCATGTCTGGTTGCATGTCTGTGCTTGCATCCAACACCGCACGAAGATGGGAAGCGCAACTGCTGCTGGGTCTTGATGCGGTGCTTAGGTCATGCAATAACACCATTCAATTGAGTCGGAATCATCAGCTGTGCCGAAATGACAGCTCCAGTTCGTGTACTACACGTTGTTCACTCGTTGCCCATGTCTGGTTGCATGTCTGGTTGCATGTCTGTGCTTGCATCCAACACCGCACGAAGATGGGAAGCGCAACTGCTGCTGGGTCTTGATGCGGTGCTTAGGTCATGCAATAACACCATTCAAATGAGTCGGAATCATCAGCTGCGCCGAAATGATAGCTCCAAGTCGTGTACTACACGTTGTTCACTCGTACTCTTCTTTCTTCTTTTGCCCATGTCTGGTTGCATGTCTGGTTGCATGTCTGTGCTTGCATCCAACACCGCACGAAGATGGGAAGCGCAACTGCTGCTGGGTCTTGATGCGGTGCTTAGGTCATGCAATAACACCATTCAATTGAGTCATCAGCTGTGCCGAAATGACAGCTCCAGTTCGTGTACTACACGTTGTTCACTCGTTGCCCATGTCTGGTTGCATGTCTGGTTGCATGTCTATGCTTGCATCCAACACCGCACGAAGATGGGAAGCGCAACTGCTGCTGGCTCTTGATGCGGTGCTTAGGTCATGCAATAACACCTCTTGATGAGTCGGAACCATCATCTGTGCCGAAATGACAGCTCCAGTTCGTGTACTACACGTTGTTCACTCGTTGCCCATGTCTGGTTGCATGTCTGGTTGCATGTCTGTGCTTGCATCCAACACCGCACGAAGATGGGAAGCGCAACTGCTGCTGGGTCTTGATGCGGTGCTTAGGTCATGCAATAACACCATTCAAATGAGTCAGAATCATCAGCTGCGCCGAAATGACAGCTCCGGTTCGTGTCCTACACGTTGTTCACTCGTTGCCCACGTCTGGTTGCATGTCTGGTTGCATGTCTGTGCTTGCATGTCTGTGCTTGCATCCAACACCGCACGAAGATGGGAAGCGCAACTGCTGCTGGGTCTTGATGCGGTGCTTAGGTCATGCAATAACACCATTCAATTGAGTCGGAACCATCAGCTGCGCCGAAATGACAGCTCTAGTTCGTGTCCTACACGTTGTTCACTCGTTGCCCATGTCTGGTTGCATGTCTGGTTGCATGTCTATGCTTGCATCCAACACCGCACGAAGATGGGAAGCGCAACTGCTGCTGGGTCTTGATGCGGTGCTTAGGTCATGCAATAACACCATTCAAATGAGTCGAAATCATCATCTGTGCCGAAATGACAGCTCCAGTTCGTGTACTACACGTTGTTCACTCGTTGCCCATGTCTGGTTGCATGTCTGGTTGCATGTCTGTGCTTGCATCCAACACCGCACGAAGATGGGAAGCGCAACTGCTGCTGGGTCTTGATGCGGTGCTTAGGTCATGCAATAACACCATTCAAATGAGTCGGAATCATCAGCTGCGCCGAAATGATAGCTCCAAGTCGTGTACTACACGTTGTTCACTCGTTGCCCATGTCTGGTTGCATGTCTGGTTGCATGTCTGAGCTTGCATCCAACACCGCACGAAGATGGGAAGCGCAACTGCTGCTGGGTCTTGATGCGGTGCTTAGGTCATGCAATAACACCATTCAAATGAGTCGGAATCATCAGCTGTGCCGAAATGACAGCTCCAGTTCGTGTACTACACGTTGTTCACTCGTTGCCCATGTCTGGTTGCATGTCTGGTTGCATGTCTGTGCTTGCATCCAACACCGCACGAAGATGGGAAGCGCAACTGCTGCTGGCTCTTGATGCGGTGCTTAGGTCATGCAATAACACCATTCAAATGAGTCGGAATCATCAGCTGTGCCGAAATGACAGCTCCAGTTCGTGTACTACACGTTGTTCACTCGTTGCCCATGTCTGGTTGCATGTCTGGTTGCATGTCTGTGCTTGCATCCAACACCGCACGAAGATGGGAAGCGCAACTGCTGCTGGGTCTTGATGCGGTGCTTAGGTCATGCAATAACACCTCTGGATGAGTCGGAATCATCAGCTGTGCCGAAATGACAGCTCCAGTTCGTGTACTACACGTTGTTCACTCGTTGCCCATGTCTGGTTGCATGTCTGGTTGCATGTCGGAGCTTGCATCCAACACCGCACGAAGATGGGAAGCGCAACTGCTGCTGGGTCTTGATGCGGTGCTTAGGTCATGCAATAACACCATTCAAATGAGTCGGAATCATCAGCTGCGCCGAAATAACAGCTCCGGTTCGTGTACTACACGTTGTTCACTCGTTGCCCATGTCTGGTTGCATGTCTGGTTGCATGTCTGTGCTTGCATCCAACACCGCACGAAGATGGGAAGCGCAACTGCTGCTGGGTCTTGATGCGGTGCTTAGGCCATGCAATAACACCTCTTGATGAGTCGGAATCATCAGCTGTGCCGAAATGACAGCTCCAGTTCGTGTACTACACGTTGTTCACTCGTTGCCCATGTCTGGTTGCATGTCTGGTTGCATGTCTGTGCTTGCATCCAACACCGCACGAAGATGGGAAGCGCAACTGCTGCTGGGTCTTGATGCGGTGCTTAGGTCATGCAATAACACCATTCAAATGAGTCGGAATCATCAGCTGTGCCGAAATGACAGCTCCAGTTCGTGTACTACACGTTGTTCACTCGTTGCCCATGTCTGGTTGCATGTCTGGTTGCATATCTGTGCTTGCATCCAACACCGCACGAAGATGGGAAGCGCAACTGCTGCTGGGTCTTGATGCGGTGCTTAGGTCATGCAATAACACCATTCAATTGAGTCGGAATCATCAGCTGCGCCGAAATGATAGCTCCAAGTCGTGTCCTACACGTTGTTCACTCGTTGCCCATGTCTGGTTGCATGTCTGGTTGCATGTCTGAGCTTGCATCCAACACCGCACGAAGATGGGAAGCGCAACTGCTGCTGGGTCTTGATGCGGTGCTTAGGTCATGCAATAACACCATTCAAATGAGTCGGAATCATCAGCTGTGCCGAAATGACAGCTCCAGTTCGTGTACTACACGTTGTTCACTCGTTGCCCATGTCTGGTTGCATGTCTGGTTGCATGTCTGTGCTTGCATCCAACACCGCACGAAGATGGGAAGCGCAACTGCTGCTGGGTCTTGATGCGGTGCTTAGGTCATGCAATAACACCTCTGGATGAGTCGGAATCATCAGCTGTGCCGAAATGACAGCTCCAGTTCGTGTACTACACGTTGTTCACTCGTTGCCCATGTCTGGTTGCATGTCTGGTTGCATGTCTGTGCTTGCATCCAACACCGCACGAAGATGGGAAGCGCAACTGCTGCTGGGTCTTGATGCGGTGCTTAGGTCATGCAATAACACCTCTTGATGAGTCGGAATCATCAGCTGTGCCGAAATGACAGCTCCAGTTTGTGTACTACACGTTGTTCACTCGTTGCCCATGTCTGGTTGCATGTCTGGTTGCATGTCTGTGCTTGCATCCAACACCGCACGAAGATGGGAAGCGCAACTGCTGCTGGGTCTTGATGCGGTGCTTAGGTCATGCAATAACACCATTCAAATGAGTCAGAATCATCAGCTGCGCCGAAATGATAGCTCCAAGTCGTGTCCTACACGTTGTTCACTCGTTGCCCATGTCTGGTTGCATGTCTGGTTGCATGTCTGTGCTTGCATCCAACACCGCACGAAGATGGGAAGCGCAACTGCTGCTGGCTCTTGATGCGGTGCTTAGGTCATGCAATAACACCATTCAAATGAGTCGGAATCATCAGCTGTGCCGAAATGACAGCTCCAGTTCGTGTACTACACACGTTGTTCACTCGTTGCCCATGTCTGGTTGCATGTCTGGTTGCATATCTGTGCTTGCATCCAACACCGCACGAAGATGGGAAGCGCACCTGTTGCTGGCTCTTGATGCGGTGCTTAGGTCATGCAATAACACCATTCAATTGAGTCGGAATCATCAGCTGTGCCGAAATGACAGCTCCAGTTCGTGTACTACACGTTGTTCACTCGTTGCCCAGGTCTGATTGCATGTCTGGTTGCATGTCAATGTTGTGCATCCAACACCGCACGAAGATGGGAAGCGCAACTGCTGCTGGGTCTTGATGCGGTGCTTAGGTCATGCAAAACCACCTCTTGATGAGTCGGAACCATCAGCTGTGCCGAAATGATAGCTCCAATTCGTGTACTACACGTTGTTCACTCGTTGCCCATGTCTGGTTGCATGTCTGGTTGCATGTCTGTGCTTGCATCCAACACCGCACGAAGATGGGAAGCGCAACTGCTGCTGGGTCTTGATGCGGTGCTTAGGTCATGCAATAACACCATTCAATTGAGTCGGAATCATCAGCTGTGCCGAAATGACAGCTCCAGTTCGTGTACTACACGTTGTTCACTCGTTGCCCATGTCTGGTTGCATGTCTGGTTGCATGTCTGTGCTTGCATCCAACACCGCACGAAGATGGGAAGCGCAACTGTTGTTGGATCCTGATGCGGGCCTTAGGTCATGCAATAACACCATTCAATTGAGTCGGAACCATCAGCTGCGCCGAAATGACAGCTCCAGTTCGTGTCCTACACGTTGTTCACTCGTTGCCCATGTCTGGTTGCATGTCTGGTTGCATGTCTGTGCTTGCATCCAACACCGCACGAAGATGGGAAGCGCAACTGCTGCTGGGTCTTGATGCGGTGCTTAGGTCATGCAATAACACCATTCAAATGAGTCGGAATCATCATCTGTGCCGAAATGACAGCTCCAGTTCGTGTCCTACACGTTGTTCACTCGTTGCCCATGTCTGGTTGCATGTCTGGTTGCATGTCTGTGCTTGCATCCAACACCGCACGAAGATGGGAAGCGCAACTGCTGCTGGGTCTTGATGCGGTGCTTAGGTCATGCAATAACACCATTCAAATGAGTCGGAACCATCAGCTGCGCCGAAATGACAGCTCCAGTTCGTGTCCTACACGTTGTTCACTCGTTGCCCATGTCTGGTTGCATGTCTGGTTGCATGTCTGTGCTTGCATCCAACACCGCACGAAGATGGGAAGCGCAACTGTTGCTGGGTCTTGATGCGGTGCTTAGGTCATGCAATAACACCTCTTGATGAGTCGGAATCATCAGCTGTGCCGAAATGACAGCTCCAGTTCGTGTACTACACGTTGTTCACTCGTTGCCCATGTCTGGTTGCATGTCTGGTTGCATGTCTGTGCTTGCATCCAACACCGCACGAAGATGGGAAGCGCAACTGCTGCTGGGTCTTGATGCGGTGCTTAGGTCATGCAATAACACCATTCAATTGAGTCGGAATCATCATCTGTGCCGAAATGACAGCTCCAGTTCGTGTACTACACGTTGTTCACTCGTTGCCCATGTCTGGTTGCATGTCTGGTTGCATGTCTGTGCTTGCATCCAACACCGCACGAAGATGGGAAGCGCAACTGCTGCTGGGTCTTGATGCGGTGCTTAGGTCATGCAATAACACCATTCAATTGAGTCGGAATCATCAGCTGTGCCGAAATGACAGCTCCAGTTCGTGTACTACACGTTGTTCACTCGTTGCCCATGTCTGGTTGCATGTCTGGTTGCATGTCTGTGCTTGCATCCAACACCGCACGAAGATGGGAAGCGCAACTGCTGCTGGGTCTTGATGCGGTGCTTAGGTCATGCAATAACACCATTCAATTGAGTCGGAACCATCAGCTGCGCCGAAATGACAGCTCCAGTTCGTGTACTACACGTTGTTCACTCGTTGCCCATGTCTGGTTGCATGTCTGGTTGCATGTCTGTGCTTGCATCCAACACCGCACGAAGATGGGAAGCGCAACTGCTGCTGGGTCTTGATGCGGTGCTTAGGTCATGCAATAACACCATTCAAATGAGTCGGAATCATCATCTGTGCCGAAATGACAGCTCCAGTTCGTGTACTACACGTTGTTCACTCGTTGCCCATGTCTGGTTGCATGTCTGGTTGCATGTCTGTGCTTGCATCCAACACCGCACGAAGATGGGAAGCGCAACTGCTGCTGGGTCTTGATGCGGTGCTTAGGTCATGCAATAACACCATTCAAATGAGTCGGAATCATCAGCTGTGCCGAAATGACAGCTCCAGTTCGTGTACTACACGTTGTTCACTCGTTGCCCATGTCTGGTTGCATGTCTGGTTGCATGTCTGTGCTTGCATCCAACACCGCACGAAGATGGGAAGCGCAACTGCTGCTGGGTCTTGATGCGGTGCTTAGGTCATGCAATAACACCATTCAAATGAGTCGGAATCATCATCTGTGCCGAAATGACAGCTCCAGTTCGTGTACTACACGTTGTTCACTCGTTGCCCATGTCTGGTTGCATGTCTGGTTGCATGTCTGTGCTTGCATCCAACACCGCACGAAGATGGGAAGCGCAACTGCTGCTGGGTCTTGATGCGGTGCTTAGGTCATGCAATAACACCATTCAATTGAGTCGGAATCATCAGCTGTGCCGAAATGACAGCTCCAGTTCGTGTACTACACGTTGTTCACTCGTTGCCCATGTCTGGTTGCATGTCTGGTTGCATGTCTGTGCTTGCATCCAACACCGCACGAAGATGGGAAGCGCAACTGCTGCTGGGTCTTGATGCGGTGCTTAGGTCATGCAATAACACCATTCAATTGAGTCGGAACCATCGGCTGTGCCGAAATGACAGCTCCAGTTCGTGTACTACACGTTGTTCACTCGTTGCCCATGTCTGGTTGCATGTCTGGTTGCATGTCTGTGCTTGCATCCAACACCGCACGAAGATGGGAAGCGCAACTGCTGCTGGGTCTTGATGCGGTGCTTAGGTCATGCAATAACACCATTCAAATGAGTCGGAATCATCAGCTGTGCCGAAATGACAGCTCCAGTTCGTGTACTACACACGTTGTTCACTCGTTGCCCATGTCTGGTTGCATGTCTGGTTGCATGTCTGTGCTTGCATCCAACACCGCACGAAGATGGGAAGCGCAACTGCTGCTGGGTCTTGATGCGGTGCTTAGGTCATGCAATAACACCATTCAAATGAGTCGGAATCATCAGCTGTGCCGAAATGACAGCTCCAAGTCGTGTACTACACGTTGTTCACTCGTTGCCCATGTCTGGTTGCATGTCTGGTTGCATGTCTGTGCTTGCATCCAACACCGCACGAAGATGGGAAGCGCAACTGCTGCTGGGTCTTGATGCGGTGCTTAGGTCATGCAATAACACCATTCAAATGAGTCGGAATCATCAGCTGTGCCGAAATGACAGCTCCAGTTCGTGTCCTACACGTTGTTCACTCGTTGCCCATGTCTGGTTGCATGTCTGGTTGCATGTCTGTGCTTGCATCCAACACCGCACGAAGATGGGAAGCGCAACTGCTGCTGGGTCTTGATGCGGTGCTTAGGTCATGCAATAACACCATTCAAATGAGTCGGAATCATCATCTGTGCCGAAATGACAGCTCCAGTTCGTGTACTACACGTTGTTCACTCGTTGCCCATGTCTGGTTGCATGTCTGGTTGCATGTCTGTGCTTGCATCCAACACCGCACGAAGATGGGAAGCGCAACTGCTGCTGGGTCTTGATGCGGTGCTTAGGTCATGCAATAACACCATTCAATTGAGTCGGAACCATCAGCTGTGCCGAAATGACAGCTCCAGTTCGTGTCCTACACGTTGTTCACTCGTTGCCCATGTCTGGTTGCATGTCTGGTTGCATGTCTGTGCTTGCATCCAACACCGCACGAAGATGGGAAGCGCAACTGCTGCTGGGTCTTGATGCGGTGCTTAGGTCATGCAATAACACCATTCAAATGAGTCGGAATCATCAGCTGTGCCGAAATGACAGCTCCAGTTCGTGTACTACACGTTGTTCACTCGTTGCCCATGTCTGGTTGCATGTCTGGTTGCATGTCTGTGCTTGCATCCAACACCGCACGAAGATGGGAAGCGCAACTGCTGCTGGGTCTTGATGCGGTGCTTAGGTCATGCAATAACACCATTCAATTGAGTCGGAACCATCGGCTGTGCCGAAATGACAGCTCCAATTCGTGTACTACACGTTGTTCACTCGTTGCCCATGTCTGGTTGCATGTCTGGTTGCATGTCTGTGCTTGCATCCAACACCGCACGAAGATGGGAAGCGCAACTGCTGCTGGGTCTTGATGCGGTGCTTAGGTCATGCAATAACACCATTCAAATGAGTCGGAACCATCGGCTGTGCCGAAATGACAGCTCCAGTTCGTGTACTACACGTTGTTCACTCGTTGCCCATGTCTGGTTGCATGTCTGGTTGCATGTCTGTGCTTGCATCCAACACCGCACGAAGATGGGAAGCGCAACTGCTGCTGGGTCTTGATGCGGTGCTTAGGTCATGCAATAACACCATTCAATTGAGTCGGAATCATCAGCTGTGCCGAAATGACAGCTCCAGTTCGTGTACTACACGTTGTTCACTCGTTGCCCATGTCTGGTTGCATGTCTGGTTGCATGTCTGTGCTTGCATCCAACACCGCACGAAGATGGGAAGCGCAACTGCTGCTGGGTCTTGATGCGGTGCTTAGGTCATGCAATAACACCATTCAAATGAGTCAGAATCATCAGCTGCGCCGAAATGACAGCTCCAAGTCGTGTACTACACGTTGTTCACTCGTTGCCCATGTCTGGTTGCATGTCTGGTTGCATGTCTGTGCTTGCATCCAACACCGCACGAAGATGGGAAGCGCAACTGCTGCTGGGTCTTGATGCGGTGCTTAGGTCATGCAATAACACCATTCAATGAGTCGGAGTCATCAGCTGTGCCGAAATGACAGCTCCAGTTCGTGTACTACACGTTGTTCACTCGTTGCCCATGTCTGGTTGCATGTCTGGTTGCATGTCTATGCTTGCATCCAACACCGCACGAAGATGGGAAGCGCAACTGCTGCTGGGTCTTGATGCGGTGCTTAGGTCATGCAATAACACCATTCAATTGAGTCGGAACCATCAGCTGTGCCGAAATGACAGCTCCAGTTCGTGTACTACACGTTGTTCACTCGTTGCCCATGTCTGGTTGCATGTCTGGTTGCATGTCTGTGCTTGCATCCAACACCGCACGAAGATGGGAAGCGCAACTGCTGCTGGGTCTTGATGCGGTGCTTAGGTCATGCAATAACACCATTCAAATGAGTCGGAACCATCAGCTGCGCCGAAATGACAGCTCCGGTTCGTGTCCTACACGTTGTTCACTCGTTGCCCATGTCTGGTTGCATGTCTGGTTGCATGTCTGTGCTTGCATCCAACACCGCACGAAGATGGGAAGCGCAACTGCTGCTGGGTCTTGATGCGGTGCTTAGGTCATGCAATAACACCATTCAATTGAGTCGGAACCATCAGCTGTGCCGAAATGACAGCTCCAGTTCGTGTACTACACGTTGTTCACTCGTTGCCCATGTCTGGTTGCATGTCTGGTTGCATGTCTGTGCTTGCATCCAACACCGCACGAAGATGGGAAGCGCAACTGCTGCTGGGTCTTGATGCGGTGCTTAGGTCATGCAATAACACCATTCAATTGAGTCGGAATCATCAGCTGTGCCGAAATGACAGCTCCAGTTCGTGTACTACACGTTGTTCACTCGTTGCCCATGTCTGGTTGCATGTCTGGTTGCATGTCTGTGCTTGCATCCAACACCGCACGAAGATGGGAAGCGCAACTGCTGCTGGGTCTTGATGCGGTGCTTAGGTCATGCAATAACACCATTCAAATGAGTCGGAATCATCAGCTGCGCCGAAATGACAGCTCCAAGTCGTGTACTACACGTTGTTCACTCGTTGCCCATGTCTGGTTGCATGTCTGGTTGCATGTCTGTGCTTGCATCCAACACCGCACGAAGATGGGAAGCGCAACTGCTGCTGGGTCTTGATGCGGTGCTTAGGTCATGCAATAACACCATTCAAATGAGTCGGAATCATCAGCTGTGCCGAAATGACAGCTCCGGTTCGTGTACTACACGTTGGTCACTCGTTGCCCACGTCTGGTTGCATGTCTGGTTGCATGTCTGTGCTTGCATCCAACACCGCACGAAGATGGGAAGCGCAACTGCTGCTGGGTCTTGATGCGGTGCTTAGGTCATGCAATAACACCATTCAATTGAGTCGGAACCATCAGCTGTGCCGAAATGACAGCTCCGGTTCGTGTCCTACACGTTGTTTACTCGTTGCCCATGTCTGGTTGCATGTCTGGTTGCATGTCTGTGCTTGCATCCAACACCGCACGAAGATGGGAAGCGCAACTGCTCTGGGTCTTGATGCGGTGCTTAGGTCATGCAATAACACTTTTCAAATGAGTCGGAATCATCGATTGTGCCGAAATGACAGCTCCAGTTCGTGTACTACACGTTGTTCACTCGTTGCCCATTCTGGTTGCATGTTGGTGCATGTCTGTTGCTTGCATCCAACACCGCACGAAGATGGGAAGCGCAACTGCTTCTGGCTCTTGATGCGGTGCTTGGGTCATGCAATAACACCATTCAAATGAGTCGGAACCATCAGCTGCGCCGAAATGACAGCTCCAGTTCGTGTACTACACGTTGTTCACTCGTTGCCCATGTCTGGTTGTATGTCTGTGCATGTCTGTGCTTGCATCCAACACCGCACGAAGATGGGAAGCGCAACTGCTGCTGGGTCTTGATGCGGTGCTTGGATCATGCAATAACACCATTCAAATGAGTCGGAACCATCAGCTGTGCCGAAATGACAGCTCCGATTCGTGTACTACACATTGTTTACTCGTTGCCCATGTCTGGTGTGCATATCTGTGTTTGCATCCAACATCGCACGAAGATGGGAAGCGCAACTGCTGCTGGGTCTTGATACGGTGCTTGGATCATGCAATAACACTTCTCAAATGAGTCGGAACCATCGATTGTGCCGAAATGACTGGTCCAATTCGTGTACTACACGTTGTTCACTCGTTGCCCATGTCTGGTTGCATGTCTGTTGCATGTCTGTGCTTGCATCCAACATCGCACGAAGATGGGAAGCGCAACTGCCTCTGGGTCTTGATGCGGTGCTTGGATCATGCAATAACACCTACTCAAATGAGTCGGAACCATCGGTTGTGCCGAAATGACAGATCCAATTCGTGTACTACACGTTGTTCACTCGTTGGCCATGTCTGGTTGTATATCTGTGTTTGTATCCAACATCGCACGAAGATGGGAAGCGCAATCATGCTCTGGCTCTTGATGCGGTGCTTGGATCATGCAATAACACCTTCTCAATGAGTCGAAACCATCGGTTGTGCCGAAATGACAGATCCGATTCGTGTACGACACATTGTTTACTCGTTGCCCATATCTGGTTGCATGTCTGGTATATCTGAGCTTGAGTCCAACATCACAAGAAGACGGGAAGCGCAACTGTCTCTTGCTCTTGATACGGTGCTTGGATCATGCAACAACACTTCTCAAATGCGTCGGTACCATCGATTGTGTCGAAATGACTGGTCCAATCCGTGTACTACATGTTGTTCCCTCGTTGCCTCTGTCTAGTTGTACATCTATGTTAGTATCCAACATCGCACGAAGGTGTGAAGCGCAATTGCCTCTGGCTCCGGATGCGGCACTTGGATCATGCGATTACACCTACTCTATTGAGTGGCACCATCGGTTGTGCCGAAATGACAGATCCAATTCGTGTACGACACATTGTTTACTCGTTGGCCATGTCCGGTTGTATATCGGTGTTTGTATCCACCATCGCACAAAGATGTGAAGTGCAATCATCTCTGGCTCTGGATACGGTGCTTGGATCATGCAATAACACTTCTCCAATGAGTCGAAACCCTCGATTGTGCTGAAATGACCGATCCGATTCGTGTACGACACATTGTTTACTCGTTGCCCATATTTAGTGTATATCTGAGTTATGTCTGTGTCCAACATCACAAAAGACGGGAAGCGCAACTGTCTCTTGCTCTTGATACGGTGCTTGGATCATGCAACAACACTTCTCAAATGCGTCGGTACCATCGATTGTGTCGAAATGACTGGTCCAATCCGTGTACTACATGTTGTTCCCTCGTTGCCTCTGTCTAGTTGTGTATCTATGTTAGTATCCAACATCGCACGAAGGTGTGAAGCGCAATTGCCTCTGGCTCCGGATGCGCCAATTGGATCATGCGATTACACCTACTCTGTTGGTGGCACCATCGGTTGTGCCGAAATGACACATCCTATGCGTGTACGACACATTGTTTACTCGTTGGCCATATCCGGTGTATATCGATGTCTGTATCCACCATCGCACAAAGATGTGAATTGCAATCATGTCTGGCTCTGGATATGGTGCTTGGATCATGCAATAACACTTCTCCAAAAGTCAAAACCCTCGGTTGTGCTGAAATGACCGATCCGATTCGTGTACGACACATTGTTTACTCGTTGCCCATATTTAGTGTATATCTGAGTTTGAGTCCAACATCACAAAAAGACGGGAAGCGCAACTGTCTTTTCACTTGATACGGTGCTTGGATCATGCAGCAACACTTCTCAAATGCGTCGGTACCATCGATTGTGTCGAAATGACTGGTCCAATCCGTGTACTACATGTTGTTCCCTCGTTGCCTCTGTCTAGTTGTACATCTATGTTAGTATCCAACATCGCACGAAGGTGTGAAGCGCAATTGCCTCTGGCTCCGAATGCGCCAATTGGATCATGCGATTACACCCACTATACTGGTGGCACCATCGGTTGTGCCGAAATGACACATCCTATGCGTGTACGACACATTGTTTACTCGTTGGCCATATCCGGTGTATATCGATGTCTGTATCCACCATCGCACAAAGATGTGAAGTGCAATCATCTCTGGCTCTGGATATAGTGCTTGGATCATGCAATAACACTTCTCCAATAAGTCAAAACCCTCGGTTGTGCTGAAATGACCGATCCGATTCGTGTACGACACATTGTTTACTCGTTGCCCATATTCAGTGTATATCTGAGTTTGACTCCAACATCACAAAAAGACGAGAAGCGCAACTGTCCCTTGCTCTTGATACGGTGCTTGGATCATGCAACAACACTTCTCAAATGCGTCGGTACCATCGATTGTGTCGAAATGACTGGTCCAATCCGTGTACTACATGTTGTTCCCTCGTTGCCTCTGTCTAGTTGTACATCTATGTTAGTATCCAACATCGCACGAAGGTGTGAAGCGCAATTGCCTCTGGCTCCGGATGCGCCAATTGGATCATGCGATTACACCTACTGTATTGGTGGCACCATCGGTCGTGCCGAAATGACAGATCCAATTCGTGTACGATACATTGTTTACTCGTTGGCCATATCCGGTGTATATCGATGTCTGTATCCACCATCGCACAAAGATGTGAAGTGCAATCATCTCTGGCTCTGGATATAGTGCTTGGATCATGCAATAACACTTCTCCAATAAGTCAAAACCCTCGGTTGTGCTGAAATGACCGATCCGATTCGTGTACGACACATTGTTTACTCGTTGCCCATATTTAGTGTATATCTGAGTTTGAGTCCAACATCACAAAAAGACGGGAAGCGCAACAGTCCCTTGCTCTTGATACGGTGCTTGGATCATGCAACAACACTTCTCAAATGCGTCGGTACCATCGATTGTGTCGAAATGACTGGTCCAATCCGTGTACTACATGTTGTTCCCTCGTTGCCTCTGTCTAGTTGTACATCTATGTTAGTATCCAACATCGCACGAAGGTGTGAAGCGCAATTGCCTCTGGCTCCGGATGCGCCAAATAGATGATGCGATTACACCTACTCTATTGGTGGCACCATCGGTCGTGCCGAAATGACAGATCCAATTCGTGTACGATACATTGTTTACTCGTTGGCCATATCCGGTGTATATCGACGTTTGTATCCACCATCGCACAAAGATGTAAAGTGCAATCATCTCTGGCTCTGGATACGGCGCTTGGATCATGCAATAACACTTCTCCAATGAGTCGAAACCCTCGGTTGTGCTGAAATGACCGATCCGATTCGTGTACGACACATTGTTTACTCGTTGCCCATATTTAGTGTATATCTGAGTTTGAGTCCAACATCACAAAAGACGAGGAAGCGCAACTGTCCCTTGCTCTTGATACGGTGCTTGGATCATGCAACAACACTTCTCAAATGCGTCGGTACCATCGAATGTGTCGAAATGACTGGTCCAATCCGTGTACTACATGTTGTTCCCTCGTTGCCTCTGTCTAGTTGTACATCTATGTTAGTATCCAACATCGCACGAAGGTGTGAAGCGCAATTGCCTCTGTCTCCGGATGCGCCAATTGGATCATGCGATTACACCTACTCTGTTGGTGGCACCATCGGTTGTTCCAAAATGACAGATCCAATTCGTGTACGATACATTGTTTACTCGTTGGCCATGTCCGGTGTATATCGACATTTGTATCCACCATCGCACAAAGATGTGAAGTGCAATCATCTCTGGCTCTGGATACGGTGCTTGGATCATGCAATAACACTTCTCCAAAAAGTCGAAACCCTCGGTTGTGCTGAAATGACCGATCCGATTCGTGTACGACACATTGTTTACTCGTTGCCCATATTCAGTGTATATCTGAGTTTGACTCCAACATCACAAAAAGACGGGAAGCGCAACTGTCCCTTGCTCTTGATACGGTGCTTGGATCATGCAACAACACTTCTCAAATGCGTCGGTACCATCGAATGTGTCGAAATGACTGGTCCAATCCGTGTACTACATGTTGTTCCCTCGTTGCCTCTGTCTAGTTGTACATCTATGTTAGTATCCAACATCGCACGAAGGTGTGAAGCGCAATTGCCTCTGGCTCCGGATGCGCCAATTGGATCATGCGATTACACCTACTATATTGGTGGCACCATCGGTTGTGCCGAAATGACAGATCCAATTCGTGTACGATACATTGTTTACTCGTTGGCCATATCCGGTGTATATCGACGTTTGTATCCACCATCGCACAAAGATGTGAAGTGCAATCATCTCTGGCTCTGGATATAGTGCTTGGATCATGCAATAACACTTCTCCAATAAGTCAAAACCCTCGGTTGTGCTGAAATGACGGATCCGATTCGTGTACGACACATTGTTTACTCGTTGCCCATATTTAGTGTATATCTGAGTTTGAGTCCAACATCACAAAAAGACGGGAAGCGCAACAGTCCCTTGCTCTTGATACGGTGCTTGGATCATGCAACAACACTTCTCAAATGCGTCGGTACCATCGAATGTGTCGAAATGACTGGTCCAATCCGTGTACTACATGTTGTTCCCTCGTTGCCTCTGTCTAGTTGTACATCTATGTTAGTATCCAACATCGCACGAAGGTGTGAAGCGCAATTGCCTCTGGCTCCGGATGCGCCAATTGGATCATGCGATTACACCTACTCTGTTGGTGGCACCATCGGTTGTGCCGAAATGACAGATCCAATTCGTGTACGATACATTGTTTACTCGTTGGCCATATCCGGTGTATATCGATGTTTGTATCCACCATCGCACAAAGATGTGAAGTGCAATCATCTCTGGCTCTGGATACGGCGCTTGGATCATGCAATAACACTTCTCCAAAAAGTCGAAACCCTCGGTTGTGCTGAAATGACCGATCCGATTCGTGTACGACACATTGTTTACTCGTTGCCCATATTCAGTGTATATCTGAGTTTGACTCCAACATCACAAAAAGACGAGAAGCGCAACTGTCCCTTGCTCTTGATACGGTGCTTGGATCATGCAACAACACTTCTCAAATGCGTCGGTACCATCGATTGTGTCGAAATGACTGGTCCAATCCGTGTACTACATGTTGTTCCCTCGTTGCCTCTGT